GAGAGATGAAGGTTTAAACCAGAACTCTAATTATTTAAGAAAACAAGAAAAAGTTTATTAATGTACAAAATCGCATGTGATTTTGCATTAATATCAAAAAATGGAAGCGGATGTTTTTGAACATATATGATTTTGTATATATATATATATATGTGTGTGTGTGTGTGTGTGTGTGTCTGTGTCTGTGTAAATTATGTATGATTTTCCATGTGAATCATATATGATTTTGTACATTAACAATCTCTTTTTTTTGTTTTCTTAAATAGTTAGTGTTCTCGTTTGGACTTGCCCACCCCTCCACACACACACACACATACATACACATACACACACACACACATATATATATATACATACACACATACACACACACACACACACACATATATATATATATATGTATGCTTCTTGTGTGGGGTGAAACCATATATGGAAGCTTTTAGATCAATTTCTAACATAGATTTTGATAGAGCATCCACAATGGAGTATGTTCATCAGATTGGTAGAGCATTGAATGGTAGAGGAGGATAATTCGATCCTTTTTGTTAATGAGGAGAACAAGAAATTGTTCCCAGAGTTGATTGCAATCTAGGAATCAACTAGGGATGTTGTACAATGGACCTTGGTGATAACATGTTCAATGGGTCAATTCCAGTCGAAGTCACGGGTCATCCTGAATTACAATGCTTGGTGCATTCAAATATGGTCTATGGTTCAATTTCTTTTCCTAACAATTCAAGATATTTCAGTAAAGTTAGTATTTCAGATTTGAGCTTGTTAAATATCAGAGAAACTCACAACAATTGAACCAAAAGGCTTTACTTCTTATTCAGGAAACTTGGCTTTTAATAGCCTTACCAAACATAAAGGAAATACCTAGAAATCAGCCACAATTAACAACTGCTAACATACCAAAAAAAATCTTAACAAATTTATGTAAACCATGACTATAAAAGACTACTGATGAGGTAAACCTAAACTCTAGAAATCACAGGACAAATTCTTTCAGAGTGTTGTTAAACACCAAGGGTTGTATGATCTTTCCTACAATCTATTAACTGGTTCTATACCAGATGAATTAGGAAGTTGTTGATATTTTGCTCTATGGTAACTTGTTTTCTAAGAGAATACTGAAATCTCTGGCTAAGTTAACCAATCTCATCACCTTAGATTATCCAGCAATCTGTTATTAGGTGGGGATACCTTCAGAATTTGGATGGTCTTTAAAGTTGCAAGGGCTATATTTGGGGAACAATAATCTCTCTAGAATCATACCATCCGAACTTGGGCAACTCCACAAATTCGAGACCAAAAAACGCTGAAAAAAAGCACAAAGGGAGTTCTTGGAGACGGAGATCGTCGAAAAATGGACCTGAATGATAGACTATCTTTGATCCATCTATCATAATCTTGAGCAATATATTTATGATCAATGATGGATTGTCTTTGATCTATCTATCCAACTATTTTCTTTTCGATGTTAGTTCAGAAAACCGGCTAGCCTCTAACACATAACTCTTCGAGTTGCTCTGCTTCAATACTCTTTTGATAATCATTAATCATAAGTGAACATATTCAACTCTAAGTGGTTATTCCAACTGTTACTAACGATTACCCCACATAGATATCACCATGTTATTTTTATCTACAAAATATGGCAACATGCATGCAAACAATCATCAAATTTGTGATAAATTCTTTCACAATTAAACTATGCATCATACTTTTTCATATTCATGCACTTATACATACATGCACTGATCTCTTGTCCTTGAGATGTCTTCAACTATCGAGTATAGGCTATAAAATCCATTATGTAGATAATGCATCCATATTTCAAGCGCCACTACCACTGCTACTAATTTAAAATCATACATTTTCAATTACCATGACATAAATACTATATCATTTCCCTTTTTCACTGATATACCTCATAGTTCCAATATTGTAACATCATTATATACAAAAAAATTCGCTGTCTAATCTGGCAGTGACACTCTTGGCATACTTCTCGGTCTTCCTTCCAATCTCTGGCATACTTCATTTACTTTCCGGCCCGATCAAGTTTATGATATTATATGGTTGCATTACATACTTCACGATAATTGATGTACATTCAGTCTTCCTGATTACATAAAAATTATTCATCTTGCTCATGCTAATGTTAGCAATCATAGATATCAAGATGATGATGTTCACCTGGTAACTTCTTATATTTCCATATTGTTTTCTCTAACCTTTTATTAATTCAGCTATCTTTACTTTTACTTTTACCTTTAATATTCATTCCTTCATCCTTTTGTGGCATCTGAAACATGTTATTCATTCTTTGAAGGATTTTGATTCAACATAATCTTCTCTTACCGATTCCAGTGCCTATACGTTCTTTCATCACAATAGATATTTCTTACTGATAGAGCTTATTTCTTACATTGAGATGCATTAATCTGCACATTATCATTGCCATCTTTAGGGATCTTATGATTCCTTTATGATATTGCATCTGTGTGATATGCTTAAACATAACAACGTTCATTATTGACTTTGACTATGTCACTAGTCGACTACCAACACTTGAGTTATTTTAGTATTTCACCAAATTCATTTTCAAATCCATCCTTTTGTGATGATGGAGTTTAACTTAACTCGTTATCTCCAAAAATAAATATTCATATCACGCATTCCATTCATCCTAGAGTCTAGTCACAACTCTCTTTTGACGAAAAATATGAACCATTAGTCAGCTTCGCTACTCATTCTATCAACTGACCAGTTAACTTCCCTTTCATAACACACATGCCACCATTTGGTTCTCATGACCCAATTCATATACTTATCATCTACAAGTCATTCTTAAACAAGGTTCTTGATGATGACTATTTACATGCTCGTTGATATTTAGGATATTTTGCCTCATTCAGATGTTGATGGTTCTAAGTGCACATCTTTACTTATTTCATCATCTTTAACTTGTATCGCAACTTACTTATCTTTCACTTAATGCAAAACAACTCATACATGTTTGCACTATACTAGCATGATGTCTTTCTAGTTATAACTATGGGAAAAATTCCAATGTTCCCCCCCCCTTTTTGGCTTAGAAGTCATGCGCTTTGATAAACTTTATTATTTAACCACAAAATATTTCTTACTTACTAAACCAGATACATGATTACAATTATTAACATTTTTTTTTTCTTTTTTACCACCTTCTTGCTTTATATCTTGCTCAAAGCAACACATGCTTACTATCAATAGTTACTTTCATAAAATCAAATGAGTTAATATCATATTCCAACCACTCTTGAGAAGCCTATAGAGGATAATAGAAGCACAATGTCCTATTGGATTAATCGATCATAGTCTTCTACATTCTAAGACCATCTCGCACACTTATTTGGTGTCTTTTACTTTAAGAAACTAATCATGTGAGAACCCTTAGATCTTCTGATAGAATTTACATATGATCTCGACATTCCAACTCGATTGAAAAATACTTCAATTAGTCATGCATTCAATCAAGATCACTTTTTCTTACCATGAATCTATTGCCATCATTGATTACACGAAATGACCTCGTTGCTAATATCATATTTGAGTATTCAATCTTCCCACTAATTGATATGAGAAATATTCCCCATCTCGCTTAGATATGGGTTGAAATAACTCATTATATCATCAGTACTTTTAATTCCTTTTATTTTTGAAGCTTAACATATTTTCTTCTCACTCAAGCAAATTAGTAGGAGTTTATCACCAAACTTTATCCCTCAAAACCCCCCTTTATCTCTAACTTTTTATTTCTATATCATCATACCATGCATTTTTCATCAATTATAGTCACATATCTATCAATGTCATCATGGGCGGATTCATGTTGTTGGGGATGGGGTCCTGGGCCCCCAACAAAATTAAGTCCACAAAGCTTTTTTTTTTCTATTTACAGTTGTATGGTTATCTGATTGGTCCCCCAATAACCTAAACATGAAAGCCCCTCACTCCCACCCAGCCCATGATTCCTTTGTGATTTTCCTTCTTCCACAATCCACACTCCACACAGAGGCACACGGCACATCGATTCCTTTGATTTTCCTACTGTTGTTGCACATCGATGATCGATCGCTTCCATTCCAAGTTCAAAGTTCAGACCATCGTTTCTAACTTTCTTCCTGCTGTTGGCTGCTGCTTCTGTTCGGTTTCGGTGTTGCACAGTGCAGAGTGCACACATCCACTCGCTCGCCTGCTCTGCTGCTTGTCTGCTTGTCTACTCCAAATTGGGTAAAAACCTAAAATTTAGAATTCCAATCTTTAGTTTTTAATGATTTTAATTTTTTTTGTTTACTTCATAATTGGTGATTTGGTGAATGCTTTATGCTTATTTATGTTAGGTTAATTTTGCAATTTTGTAGACAAATGGAAAGGTTAGGTTAATTTTACAATTTTGTAGGCAAATGAATGGAAATGTTAGGTTAGGCAAATGGAAAAGGTAGTTTGTGACCTCAATTCTAACTAAGAATCCATCATGCTCAAAAGCCAATTTATTATTTATACTTGAAATTAACATGATAAACCATTGATTTTATCTTGTTGTTGCTACTGCTAGAAAAAATGAAAAGATTTTTTAAAAGGAAAGCATCAACACCTGAATCGAGCTCTGCTCCTTCAATGCCCTACGAAATTGATTTGAACGATATTCCTTGGGATCCAGCCGATAGGAAAAGATTTCAAAATATCATCTTAATCAAAGGGATGAAATAAGAAGAAAATACTTGATTAGAGGACCTTGTCAACCACGGGGTCATGCATTTCCCAAAAAAATCGTTGGGAGTAAAGGAAAACGTTTTTGTCCGGCCTGGTTTGATCAATACGCTAATTGGTTAGAGTATAGTGTAAAAACGGATAAATCTTTTTGTTTGTTTTGTTATTTGTTTAGAGATCATTACGTAGGACAATGTGGAAGTGATGCTTTTGTAACAAATGGCTTTAATAGTTGGAATAAAATGGAAAGACTCGGTCTTCATGTCGGCGACATTAATAGTTTTCACAATAGAGCACTTAAGAAAAGTGAGGATCTAATGAGCCAAGATCGATCTATTGCCGTTGCCTTTCATAAGCAAACTGAGAAGGAGAAGAACGAGCACCGAATACGATTAAATGCTTCAATTAAGGCCTGTAGATTCTTGTTGAAGAATGCATTGCCCTTTCGTGGTCATGTTGAATCTGAAATGTCTATTTCTAAAGGCATGTTCTTAGAAACATTAGCCTTAATTGGTGATTGCAATGAGGATGTAGGTAAAATTATATTAAAAATGCTCTAAAGAATAATCAAACGGTGTCTCCAAGTATTCAAAAAGATATTGCTGCTTGTTTTGCAAATCAAATACTCAAACCCATTCGTAAAGAAGTTGGTGATGATGTGTTCTCATTGCTAGTTGATGAGTCTAGTGACGTTTCTAAGAAGGAACAAATGGCGGTGGTTTTACAATATGTTGATGCGCGTGGTATTGTTAAGGAGAGATTTTTTGGTATTGTTCATGTGACGGGGACATCATCTTCAATTCTTAAATCTTCCATTGATACTTTATTTGCTGAACATGGATTGAGTTTAAAACAGGTAAGAGGGAAAGGTTATGATGGAGCAAGCAATATGTGTGGTGAGTTCAATGGATTAAAGGCCTTGATCTTGAATGAAAATAACTCGGCATATTATATCCATTGTTTTGCTCACCAACTTCAATTAGTTGTTGTGGCGGTTGCAAATAAACATAACAGAGTTGAGAACTTTTTTAATATGTTAGGAATGGTGATCGATGTGGTGAATGCTTCTTGCAAGCGTAAAGACATGTTTCGACAAAGTTACAAAGATATAGTGGAAGAAGCAATTGGTAAGTTTGAAGTTGAAACTGGAACGGGAAATATCAGGAGCTTTCTCTTACATGAGCCGAAGATACACGGTGGGGTTCTCATTGCAAAACCATTTTTAGCTTGATTGCTTTGTTTTCGAATGTTGTTGAAGTGCTCCAGTATGTTGAAGAGGACGAGGATAATGGTTTTAGTCGCACTCAAGCAACTGGTATTTTAGCATATTTGAAGACATTTGATCTCGTGATTTATTTTCATCTGATGTTTCATATTTTAAAGGTCACAGACTTGTTGTCACGGGCTCTTCAAAAAAAGGATCAAGATATATTGGAAGTGGTTTCATTGATAAGAGGAACCAAACAACTATTGCAACAATTTAGATAAACTAGTTTTGATCCACTTTTGAAGAAAATGTATTATTTTTGTGAAGCAAATGGTATTAAAGCTTTGGATATGGAAGACAGTTATTCAAAAAAACGGAAGACAAATGACCAACATCACCAGTCGTCATTATTACAAGTTTGATATTTTCAACACTGTTGTTTGTGGACATGCAAATTCAAGAGTTTGGGGATCGATTTAGTGAGGTAAGCGCTTAATTGCTTAAAAATATAGCAGCTTTGAGTCCATGTGATTCTTTTTCGCAGTTTAATATATCAGATTTATTGAAGTTGAGTAAGTTGTATCCTCAAGATTTTAGTCATATGGAAAGGATCGCTCTTGAGAAACAGCTTAACATGTACTATTTGATTGTGCGTCAAGATGAAAGATTTGCCGATTTGAGTGGTATTGACGAGCTCGCTAGATTGCTAGTGGAAACAAAAAAACATACAACTTATCCTCTAGTATATCGGTTATTGAAGTTAGCTTTGRTTTTGCCAGTTGCTACCGCAACAGTCGAAAGATGTTTTTCTGCTATGAAGATTGTGAAGTCAGATTTGCGCAACAAAATTGGTGATAATTTAACGATGCAATGATATGTACTATAGAAAATGAAGCACTTCTCACAGTTTCAAATGATGATGTAATTACTCAATTCCAAAAGATGAAAAGTCGTAGGGCACAGTTGTAAGAGGTAACTTTTTATYATTTTTGTATGAAATTGAAGTTAATTATTATTTTATCTTATATCATGCCCCCTACAATATATTCTTTTGCATCCGCCACTGAATGTCATTATACCGACTAGCATCAACCCATCTAACGATTTCTCTACTTTGATCTAGTTTACAACTTGCTTCAAAAACTCCAAAATTAACTTCAACTACATTCTCATCACTATATATCAATCTTTAGTCACATATCTTGTCAAGAACAAAAATCTTTCATTCTCAGTTTAAGTCTAGGTTTACAATAACCTAGTTCCCTTAAACTTTGCTCTGATACCATTTGCAACATCCCAAGATCAAACACTTACATTGCAGTAGAAATAAAATCTCTAATCTTACAAATTATATCACCATCTAATATTACAATCTTGACGAACATAACTTTGCTCTATAGAACAATGTCTTGATCTGCACATCTCCTTCTTTGGGTCTAATCCTTACATCTCTCTTGATCTGCACCGGAGGTTTCATGACCATTCGGTTTCATGTCATTGAATTACATTCAATTTTAGGTTCTAAACTCTTTACTTTGATTGTATTTATACTACAAATCCTTGAAATTTAACGACTATCAATATCCTCCTTTTTTGGGTTATTACACTTGCATAACTTAATAGTTTTTTAAATAAACATAAAAATTTAATTAATGTGTACTTTTATCAAGAATTTTGAGTTATGATTGGATATATATATCTATACTATCTTATAAAGCATTTGGCTAAAATTCTTAAAAATTCTTAAAAACTCTTAAACCTTTCCCATATCTGAATTCGTGTAACTAACTACAGATAAACACAATCAAATACAGGATTAA